GGAACATAATCCCATGATCATTGATCATGCTAACATTACCCCCACTAAACTAACCCACTACTGTTATGATTCCACTAACATTAGGAGTTAACTAACCACTAACAATTTGAAGCAAATATTCCAACACACCCCCTTGCTTCAAATTGGATTACAATGACTATTCGATTTTCATGCTTGATCTCGACGAAATTTTCTTTTGCTTTTACAGCATTTTGTGATGCACATCACATCACCCACACAATTTTGATGGTGCACATTATCACCAACATGATATTCTCGGAGCACTTCTCTCCGCACAACTAATCCACGACATTTTTTTATTGATGCACTTCTCATCAATTACTTGATCTTGTTGATGCACATTATCATCAACTTACATTCAATGGAGCACATCTCTCCATTAACTCTCTTTGACATTGTCCTCCAATTGACCATGTTATCTTGCATCATACCAAACATCTTTGGTATTATCTTGGAAACCATCTCTTCATTGATTACGACTTCCATACCCTCATGGGCTAAAAGAGAACCCATCAACACACCACACTAACCATTACTTCCATGGTTAAACAGAAACACGCACAATTAAAAAAATTCACTCGATATTTTTTTTTTAATTTCTCACACACAATGAAATCAAGTTGTGTTGCTTGTTTCCATACTCAATTTTTTTTAATACTCTCTTTCTCTCTCTTTTTTTTTCTTCATCTCTTTCCCTTCTTTTTTTTCTTATCTTGGATCTAACCTGGCTCTGATACCATGTTGAAATAATAAAATAGAGATGAGAGAAGGGAAAGAATATTAAAAGTTGTATTCAATCCATTTTAAAATTGTACTACATTGCAACATATATATAGTGCAAAATATAACTAAAAATAAGGAACATAATCCCATGATCATTGGTCATGCTAACATTAACCCCCACTAAACTAACCCACTACTGTTATGATTCCACTAACATTAGGAGTTAACTAACCACTATAACAATTTGAAGCAAATATTCCAACACTATTTTGACTGTACACATATGCGGTGCAACTCTTTAACCATAAATATCATTAGATGCTTATTAGTAAAAAAAAATATAACAATTAAATATTAATAATCTATTGATCAAAACGAATCAAATAATAGCCAACATGGTTATATTATGTCTTGTATATTAAGAATAATTTAGAAGATTCTCTTACATTATGAATAGTGTAAAAATTCTAAATGGAAACTATATATATACAGGGGGCGGAGGAAGTATTATATAGAGTACAAGTACTTTCTACAATCTACATTAAATCTAATGGACTAAAATATGGGAATAAACTACGAACAATTAGCTAGGGCTCCTAATCCCCAATCTTGCTTAACAAAATACAATACAAGTAATAAATTTCGAGCTTAATAAATACCCAATAACGTGGTAAAAAGAAGAATTAAAATTAAAACTCCGCTAATGCGACGGATGAGAATAATAGCATTATTAGCAAATTGATATGCGTGATGATAAAGTGGCGTTGTACTAGAATCTTAAACCCCAATAATAAACTGAGAACGAAGTAATAAAATAGAATCCAATTCAAATATTTTCGTGTGTGACGTAATAGATCCATAAAATTACTAGCAAGTTGATTAAGTGATGGTGTATGCTTCGACTCATGTAAATTCGCAACGCAAGTGTCCGTATCATGCAATGGATAATATGTCATGGCTCTGTTGTAGTTTGCCATCGCTAATGAGGATAAGCTCGCGGCACAAGTGTCCGTAGCAAGCAATGGATGAGACTTAGTTGCGTTGTAGCTTGCCATTGTGAAGGAGGGTGTAAACGAAAGAAAGAGGAGGAATGCTACTAGAACGAGAAAGAATTGTTTCACCATTGTTTTTTTTTTTATTATTATTTTTGGTGGCACTACTAAAATTCGGTCATATTACGACTGTTTTCTTGCGACTGGCTAAAATACGGTCGCAATTAGTATTATTTACGACTGTTTAATAGCCTGTCGTAATTTTAATTTATTGCGACCGTTTTTTAATAAATTGCGGCCGTTATAACGGTCGTTACAACTATTAGAATTAATATTTTTTAAAAAAAAAATTACGATCGGTCTAAACGGTCGTAGAGCCGGTCGTAAGGGTTTAAATCAGAAATTTAAATAAAATCGGGTTTCATTATTTTGAGAAGGGGAAAAGAAACGTTGAAGCAGAGAAGAAGGGAGAAGAGGGAAAACACCACGACGGTTGCTAGCTGCTCCGCCGTTGTTCCCACCGACACCTGTCTCCGGCCAGCGACGTAAGATACAGGTATGCCGTTCAATTTTTTTTTTTTGTTTTTGATTTCATTAGTTTAGTTAATTTGTTCGAAAACCCTAACTTTGGGTCTCAATTCAACCCCCACGCAGACCACCGTCGCCGGATTCCCCTCCAGGCCGTCTCTCCTTTGCTTTCCGACGATTGTATCAAGGTAAGTCAATGGGTTTCATTATTTAGTTAATTTGTTCGAAAACCCTAATTTTGTAATTTTTGTTAATTTGGGCGAAAACCCTAAAATTGAGTCACAAATCAACGTGTGCAGGGCGAAAATTCGCCGGTTTCCTCCTTCTATCTTAGCCTCCTCCGTCGTCCGTCGACTGTCATCTGGTAAGTCATGCAATTTTTGTTTTTTGTTTATTTTTTCATTTTATTTTTTAAAAATTTATTTACTGTTTTTACCTTATTGTGGATTGATTAATGAAGCAGTTTATTTATGGAATTGGGTTTGATTCATTTTTTGATTGAATTAGGGTTAATATGGTTATTCTGAAGTCTTATTTGGTTTAATTTGAGTTAAATGGTAACCAATTTTAATTTTTCTTTCATTTATAATTGTTTATATTTTGATGCTGAAATGTTGAAGTCCATGGATGTTGTTGTTGTTATATTGTGGTGTAGTCTGATGATTAATGTGATTGTGTTAAAATTGAATTGATTTGCTTTGGTGTAATTTGTGTAGAAAGGAACGAAGTGGATTTCAAGTTTGGTTTTAATTATACTGTTTGGAGTGGCAATTTGATTAGAAAGGGAGCCACTATCACATTGAATTGTTTGGATGTAATGAAATTTTTGTCTTGAATCGATTAAATAAGCCATGTAACATTGTTTGCTTTGAGATTTACTGTTGAATTTGTACATGATTTTATCTAATATGCAAGATTCATAATGACTAATTAAGAATTAGACATGGTAAATGTGCATTCCAAATAAGCTACCTTATCGTAAATGTGTATTAATACATGGGTTTATCTCATTGTAATTACTTTAATATAAGGCTACATAGTTGAATATTTTCTTTAAATAGTATAAATAACCTTTTCGCCTAATTTTTGGTTAAAAATGGTGAAATTTAACTCTTGAACTTTTGATTAAAGCTATGTTCTCAGTCTTGACCTTTTGGTTGTTTTTTTTTTAATTTCGCTATTTAATCTAAAATAGCTAATTTTTGAGTCGCAAATTAACCCCCTTTGCAGCTCCATCGTCGCCAGATTCCTCTTCTGCCCGTCCTTCCTCCTTTTTCTGTCTTTTTCCATCGCCCCCACTAGGTAAGTCGGCTGTAGTTATTTATTTTTTTCATTTTAAATTTTTTTATAAATACCTTGCCTAAAAGTGTAACACCACCATATACCAGGACCACATTCATCGCCGCCTCTGCTTTTCTGGTCAACTCCTCCGCTGTGTGTTTTTCTTCCCTTCTTATTTATCTACTTCTTTTACTTGTGCAATATGATTCATATTTATGTTAGTTGTTTATAGAGTTGTGATCTCATGTGTTGGATAATTTTAGTTTGCTATTGATAGCTTGGTTCATTGTTGGATTTTTTACGCTTTATTGTGCGTAGGCTAGAACTTGGATGTGTTTTGGTTGGAATAGAAATTTATTTTGCTTTATGTCCAATGTAGGACTATTGGATGGTGTGAACTCATGTGTTGGATAATTTTAGTTTTCGTTTTTTAAAAAAATGATTCTTATTGAATTACAATGGCTTTATTAGAAATATGTATGTTTAAGGGGTTATTATAATCTTTTGAACAATAATTTGTATTATGGTTCTATAAAGTATTTTGTAAATAATTTTTTTTTTTTCATGAAGTGTTACTTGTGGTTGTTTTTTTTTAATATTTTTATATTTTGATTTTTGTATCAAACTCCCATCTTTGTTAAGTATACAAATCATATTGCTTCTATTATTTTATTAATGTTACATCAATTTACTTTGAAATGGTATAAATATAATTTTTTAGTGTAAGTTATAAATAATTTAATCAATATTGTAAATTATAAATAATAAGTATCTTATAAAAAAATGTTGTAAAAATTATAATTATTTATCAAGTTAGAAGCATGTGACATAAAATATGTTTAAATCTCTTAATAAAGAATGTGAAATCAGCTTTCCTGTTGAAGTCATGATAAGGACCTTTGGATATCATTTCGATTCTAATTTTATTGTATGCCATTATTGTAATGAATACAAGTTCAGTGTGAATGATTAATGTGATTTGTTTTTCATAGTGTTGTAGAATTTGTCACCATGAAAAGGAAAGAGCGTTGGTGGATGTACGATAGATACGATGGCGGTAATGCTCGTAGACTTAGGCCTTGTGGATGGTGTTGAACAATTCATACGGTTTTGTGAAGCTCATCTTGAGAGCCCGGGTATAGATGAAGTAGGATGCCGTCTGTCTTCATGATGCCAACACAGTAAAACTCCATTTGTTCAAAAAGGGGTTTATACCTGATTACTATGATTGGGTTTCGATCTCATGGTGAAGGGTTCCCTACATCAAGTGTAGAGCAACCAAATACTTACCGTGAAATGGTCCTCGATGCTCTTGGGAGTAATCATGAACCACCAGGTCACGATAGTACTAGCGGTTCAGACGAAGAGCCAAATGCTCAAGCAAAAGTATTTTAAGAGCTTTTAAAGGCTGCCGAGAAACCTTTATACGAAGGTAGCTCCATGTCTGTGCTACAAATGGCATCTCGAATTGTATCTTTGAAGTCGGAATACAATTTCCCCCATAGGTGCGTTGATGGGTTTGCTTCATTACTGAACGAAGCGATTCCCGACAATAATAAGATGGGGAAAACATTCTATGATACAAAGAAGATTTTTAACGGACTTGAGCTTCCGCACAAGAAGATCCATGCATGCCCAAAGGGTTGTATGTTGTTTTGGAAAGCTAATGCTGAGTTGGATAAGTGTAGAGTGTGCGAAAGGGATAGATACAAGAGGACTTCAAAGGGGTCATTGGTTCCAATAAAAGAACTCATCTATTTTCCAATCACTCCAAGGCTACAACGATTGTTTGCAACAAAGAACGTTGCGGAGGAAATGACTTGGCATTCCAAAAATCCAAGAGTCCAAGGCACAATGACGCATCCTAGTGATAGTGAAGCTTGGAAGCACTTGGATAGATCCTTCCCCGATTTCGCATCTAAACCTAGAAATGTGAGACTTGGTATGTGTACCGATGAGTTTTCTCCTAATGGCAAGTTTGGAGGTCAGTATTCATGTTGGCCAGTCATCTGACCCCATATAACTTGCCTCCATCGATGTGCATGAAAAAATCATTTATGTTCCTTTCTTTGCTCGTTCCTGGTCTTAAAAATCCGAAGGGGAACTTGGATGTGTATATGCAACCGTTAATTGAAGAACTGAAAAAACTGTGGGATGTTGGTGCAACAACTTACGACATCTCGTAAAGAAAAAACTTCAATTTGCGTGCAGCAATCTTGTGGACTATAAGTGATTTCCCAGCATATGGTATGCTTTCTGGATGGGCAACAGCTAGTGAAAAAGCATGTCCATATTGCTTGGACAAATCAAAAGCTTTTTGGCTTGAACATGGTGGTAAAATGTCTTGGTTTGATTATCATCGACAATTTCTTCCTCCCGAACATCCTTTTCGAAACAACAAAATTGCTTTTTGTAAGAACAAGGTTGAAAAGGGGACACCACCTCACATAATGTCCGGCGATGAGCTATGGCAACAAGTTCAACACTTTGCTAAGTCAAGAGATGGACCAGAAGCACTTGCAAGCTTGAAAAAGAAGAAACTAGGTTGTTTTAAGCAAAGCGTTCTTTGGGAGATACCATACTGGAAGACTCTTCTCCTCTGCCACAACCTCGATGTGATGCGTATTGAAAAGAATTTCTTTGACCAACTAATTCACACAGTGATGGATGTGAAAAAACATACTTCAGACACAGTTGCATCTAGAAATGACATTGCCAAATATTGCAAACGACCACAACTACATGTGACGGAGGATGCGAGGGGCAAAGACACTTTGCCGAAAGTTCCATTCTCACTCGACAAGGCTCAAAAGAAAGTGTTATGCGAGTGGGTAAGGAACTTGAAATTTCCCGATGGTTATGCTTCTAATTTGAGTAGATGTGTAGATTTACAATCATGTAATCTTCATGGTTTAAAGAGCCACGACTGTCATGTCTTCATGGAGAGATTGTTGCCAGTTGCTTTGAAGGAATTGCTCCCGGTCCATGTTTGGAAAGCTATTACTGAGATTACTCTTTTCTTCCGTGATCTTTGTTGTTCCACCATCAAATTGAGTGATATGGAAAGATTGGAACAAAACATTGCAGAAATTCTTTGTAAGCTCGAGAAGATATTTCCACCAGCGTTCTTCAACTCTATGGAACACTTACCAGTTCACTTGCCTTATGAAGCTAGGTTATGTGGTCCTGTCCAATATCGTTGGATGTATCCGTTTGAGAGGTTTAATTAAGCTCCTACAAACTCATAGCTGTCATTTTCGTTTATACACCTATAGTTGTTTGCATAACATATAACTTATTCAATATTTTTTATTATAGGTTCCTTAATCATTTGAAACGTAAAATTGGAAATAAGGCTCGTGTGGAAGGTTCAATATGCAATGTTTATCTAACGGAAGAGATAGGGTACTTTTGCTCTAACTACTTCCAACAAGGAGTGGATACCAAAACACGGGACTTAGGTCGAAATGTTCATGATGATGTTGAAAGCACTTTGGATGATAGTGTTCCAGAACTGTTTAGGGTTGATCATGGACATGCTTCTACTGGTGGAGTTCGTCGCTATTTGGATGAAAAAGAACTACAACGTGCTCATTTATATGTTTTGGGAAATAGCGGTATTTTGGAACCATATGAGAGGTATTAAATTTGTAAATTATCACAGTCACTAAGATTTCATTGAATTTTACATCGTATCCAATGTCGACCACCTTCATTAATACTCTTTCTCTGGTTATATGGAAGGGGGTTTGAGGACCACATTGTTCAAATGCAACCCACTATTCGCAAAGAAGATGTGTGGATTAAACATGAAGCTGAATTCCTCGAGTGGTTTAGGTTGAAAGTGAGTATGATACGCATTTGACATCAACATGTTTTCTTACTTTGTTTCTATAAATTCACGACTAATATCAATTTATTTATATAATTATGCCATATGAGCAGGTGATCCAAGAAAAGCCAAATGATGAAATATTGTTTGCTTTGGCTATGGGCCCATCTAAGCGAGTGCGTACTTGGAGCCAATTCTATGTGAATGGATACAAATTCCAAACTTATGGCCATGGAAAACATAAGTCAACAATGAATTATGGAGTAAGCGTATCCAATGAAGATGGTGGTGATTATTTTGGTTTTCTAGAGGATATCATCGAGTTAGAGTTCACTGGTGCCCTACAGACTTATAAGACTGTTCTTTTCAAGTGAAGTTGGATGGATTCCACTAGAGGTATGAACATTGATCAATACAAGCTTGTAGAAGTCAACCATACCAAAAAATACCCCAAGTACGATCCATTTGTGCTTTCTTACCAAGCAAACCAAGTCTACTATGCACCTTACCCTAGTCTGAAAAGAGACAAGGCTCAATGGTGGGAAGTGTTCAAGACAAAGGCGAGGTCTGTTGTTGATGCACCAGTTGACGAAGACTTTCTACAAGAAACCAGTGCTGACATTCCAACTCTTTGTGCTCCGGATGACATTCTGGACTATGAAGGTGATGAAGAAGGTTTTGGAGATTCGGATACTGAAAATGAAGTGTTTCCCGATGCCCCTCCAGACGAGTCCAGTTTCGAATCTACTGATAGTGAGGACGAGGATGAGGATGACAGATTTTGGGATGACGATACCGATGATGATCTTAGTGCTGATGGGGAGGACGATTCAACTGAGATTTAGGAGATTGATTGTAACCTTGTTTTGACTTTTTAATTATGTAATCTTAATGGATTTCAATTTATTTTAAAAGACCATCCTAGTTTCAATGTGATATACTTGTGTAAATATGTTATTATTTATATTTTTCAAGGCCAAGGTTATGTGTGACAGTAGCTTATAGATCGTGATATAACATGGCTATATGATTTTTACCGATGTTCATAATGTTTTTCTTATTGTAGGTTGTCATGGCCGGTGGTGGTCGTCGGAAGCTGGGACATGCCACCCCGAGAGAATTGTTTCCGTCGACAAGCCATGCAAATATGGAAACTTCTCAAGAAGTTACCCCATCCCCTGAGCCAGGTGTAGGTGGTTCTGGGACATCTACTCAGGTTCCTGAGACGCAAGACGGTAACTCTCCTATGGGTGAGGTTCCTATCCCCGTTGCGAGAAGGACTTTTCACCCGACGGGGTTATGGTAATTTACTCATGGTTATCTTAATTTGCATTCCAACTTGAACAATCTTGGTTAGATTTGTATGTAATGACTTCATTTGTTTGCTTATTGGTACAAAGGTTCGATGATAACACCGTGAGCACCTCCATTACAAATATTTTTCAAGCACATTGGCGCGAACCATGGCTTAACTATGAAATGGTTGACAAGGATACTAAGACCCACTGGTGGAACTCGTTTACGGTATTATAAAACCCCCAAGTTTAGTTTACTCATCTAACTTTGTTGTTTTTTGGTTACTTATTACAATAAATTATTATACATTTTATTTTTCTTGTTTGCAGAAACAATACCTTTGGAATGTTGATCTTGATGCCCTCGTGAAGAAGGAGTATGAAAAGAAGGCACATAAGAGCCTGAAAGAGATTACATACAATGTTTCGGTCAGAAACAAGTCAGTTCGTAGATGGATGGGAGAGTCTATGTTTGAGCGAATTATGGCGAAAAGAAAGGATCCGGTATTTCTAGAGAGGTCAGAAAAGGCGAAGAAGAACAGGAGGGGCGGCTCCCTGTCTAATCCAATTGAGTCGTCACACTTCCAAGGTTCTATCTCTGCATCAAAGCATGCAAAGAAAATGGTAATACTTAATGATATATTATGATACTGATAAATTTTAGTAGTAGCATACACTAAGCAGTTATGGAGTAATTTGATTTGTGGAGGCTCAGAAAGCCGGTGGAGTGCTTCCAACTGCTCTTGAGGTGTTCCTAAAGACACATTTCAAAGAAGTTCCAGGAAAAGGAAAAGTTGGGGTAACAAGAGGGCACAACAAATCTCGGTAACACATCTAACTTTGGAATCTAATGAAATTATTTTTTAAGGAAGCAAGCAAAACATAGGCACTTATACTTGTGATTTGAAATTTGAGGAACCTATAGCCTTGTAAATGCTTGAAAATGTCTATGATTAACCAATTTGAACCTATAAACATGTTTTGTATGCTAAATATGAATTGTTTGATTGCTAAAATCTTATAATATAGCAAAAACAAAGAAAATGGCTAAGTTAGAATGCCATTCTTGCCTAGTCATGAACCTCTAGCCATGAATATGCATGAAAATGTGTAAGTTTTTGCAATTTGAACCTATAAACATGTTTAATATGCTTAATTTGAGTTGTTTGATTGATAATTTCTTCAAATATAGCAAAAACAAATAAAATGGCTAAGTTAGAATGCCATTTATGCCATTTATGCCATTTTAGCTTAGTCATGAACCTCTAGCCATGAAGATGCATGAAAATGTGTAAGTTTTTGCAATTTGAACCTATAAATATGTATAATATGCTTAATTTGAGTTGTTTGATTGATAATTTCTTCAAATGTAGCAAAAACAAATAAAATGGCTAAGTTAGAATGCCATTTATGCCATTTTAGCCTAGTCATGAACCTATAGCCATGAATATGCATGAAAATGTGTAAGTTTTTGCAATTTGAACCTATAAGCATGTTTACTATGCTAAATATGAGGTTTTTGACTGATAAAATCTTAGAATATAGCATAAACAAAGAAAATGGGTAAGTTAGAAGGTCATTTATGTCATTTTAGCCTACCCATGAACCTATAGCCATGAATATGCATGAAAATGTGTAAGTTTTTGCAATTTGAACCTATAAACATGTTTAATATGCTAAATATGAGTTTTTTGATTGATAAAATGTTAAAATATAGCAAAAACAAAGAAAATGGCTTAGTTAGAATGCCATTTAAGCCATTTTAGCCTACTAATGAACCTATAGCCATGAATATGCATGAAAATGTGGAAGTTTTTGCAATTTGAACCTATAAAAATGTTTATTATGCTAAATATGAGTTGTTTGATTGATTAAATCTTAGAATATAGCATAAACAAAGAAAATGGGTAAGTTAGAAGGTCATTTAGGCCATTTTATCCTAGTCATGAACCTATAGCCTTGAATATGCATGAAAATCTCTATGATTAACCAATTTAAACCTATAAACATGTTTTGTATGCTAAATATGAGTTGTTTGAATGACAAAGTCTTAGAATATATCAAAAACAAAGAAAATGGGTAAGTTAGAAGGCCATTTAAGCCATTTTATCCAAGTTGTAAACCTATAGCCTTGTAAATACTTGAAAATGTGTATGTTTTCGCAATTTGAACCTATAAACATGTTTAATATGCAGAATTTGTTTTGTTTGATTTCAGGAAGCCTACCAAAAGAAGCTTGACGAGTCTTCCACTCAAGAAGGGTCACAACCGGACCCTAACCAGCTATACTAGGAGGTCGTTGGTGGTAGGAAAAAGGGTGTAGTGAAGGGCCTAGGTGCAAGTGCTAGATTGTTTTACAGCCCCTCTTCCGAGAAAGGCTCGCAATCGTACAATCCTTCTATAGCTTCACAGATGGATGAACGTGTGCAAGCCGAGGTTGCCGAGCGAATAGCTAGAGGAGGCAAAAGTGCAAATGCAGGCACAAATGGAGGCACAGTTTGCAACGCAGTTGCAGGAGGCATTGAAGAAGGAGCGGGAGGAGGCAACAATTGAGAGTAAGCGAATGATGGAGACAATGTTGCAGAACTTGTTCTCTAACTGTTCAAGTGGTCCTCCATTTCAGTTTCGTAGGGAAGATAACCCGGACATGAGTGGTGGTGGGCTTGGTCACCAGACTCCGGTGTCGTAGTTTTTGTTCATAAAGCTCTTACATTAGTAATGTTGATATAGGCCTTAGTATTTTTTGGGAGAAATATAGGCCTTAGGTGTTTTTTTGGGAATATAGGCCTTAGGTTTTTTTTGGGGGGGATATAGGCCATTTCGTTATTTTTGGGGAATATAGGCCTGAAATTGGTATTATATTGTTACATGTTGGCCTTATCTATTTTTTGAAGGAACATAGGCCATTACTTATTCATATAGACCTAACTTAGTTTTAAAGTTAAGCTTATAAAACTATTACTAACTAATTACTATTACTATTAACTTGAACATTATTATTGTATGTATTGTTGGAAGTTGGACTTTTTAATTATTAATATTATTATCTATATGAATTATGCATTTTATTTTTATTTTATATTAATTTTGAAATTAATTCACATGATAACAGGTTATAGGTTCAGGTAGGATGGCATCGATAATGCAAATTGTAATTATTTGAAAATGGCATTATAATAATAAATTGCGCTATTGCAATTCTATGAGAAATTGCGACCGTTTACCTAACTTGTCGCTGATCCCATGTTTTTACGACCGTCAGGGCCTGTCGCAGATCACAGGAATTTGCGATTGTCTTAGGCAGTCGTAATTTACTGAAAATTGCGACCGTCAGGGCATGTCGCAGATCCCGTGTTTTTGCGACCGTCAGGGCCTGTCGCAGACCACAGGAATTTGCGACCGTCTCAAGCGGTCCTAACTTACTGAAAATTGCGACCGTTACTGCCTGTCGCAGATCCCAGAGTTTTGCGACTGTCTAAGGCAGTCATAATTTTCAGCAATTGCGACCGCTTTTCCTGTCGCAAATAACAAATTACGTCTGTTTAAAAAACGGTCGTTGAAAATACGAAAAACTTAGCCGCAGCCTCCCTAACCCAGCCTTATTTTGATGCCAATTTTCGGCTCCCACACCAATTTCCGTCCGCTTCCTTCCCTCCACTATACCCCGTAAACAAACCCCCACTTCAAAATAGCCCCGAAACATCTTTCCTTGGGAGTTTAGGACTGATTTTCAAGGTGTATGAAGGCATAGGGTAGGTTTCTGGGTTAGTTGAATTGAAGGGAAGGGGGGCTAGTTTCGATGGTGTTGAAAGGGAGGGTTGCCGATTTCAGAGGTGTATTTAGGGAGGGAGTCCTTTTAGGGAATTGAATTGGGGATCGATGGGGGAATGATATCTTAGCGGCATTATGAAGGGAAATGGTGGTTTTTTGAGGTGGTGTTGGGTTGGGGGCCGATTCTCAGTGTAAGGGATGGTTCGGAGGCGAAAATTGGTGGCGGGGTTAAGAAGAGGTGGTATGTGGATTGCCTAGGAAGGTGGCTAGTGGTTTAGATTTTTTTTTATTTTCTTTTTCTTTTTCTT